AGGGCATGTTCAAGTATACTTGACTTACTACAGAACCTTAGGCTAGCATGTAACTCACGTTACAGTGGGAGGCCACTTTTCAATTGGTCCCAGTAAAAATGCATCAAAATTAGGAAAATTACTCCAAAGACAATTAGAAGAATGCTTAAAATTTAATCCAGGGCTTGTGGCGCACATTCCCTCGTTCAAATACCCTCCACACACACTTTTCATTTGCCTTCTGCACCTCTGCGTTAACAATTTTCTGTAAGTGAATCCGATATAGCCTTATTTACAGCTGGAACAAATAAATTTATAAACTACATTTGATGACTTTAAAACAGGAATCCGATTTTTAAATCGTAAAAAATAATAATAATGTCGACAATTTGGTTTAAATATAAACCTCAACTGTATCTGCAAGTACACACTTTGAATAACATCTTTTACATTTTTTCTTGTAATGGTTAAAGAATTTTACCAACGTATTGTACACTGATAACAACAGGATATTTGGTAGCTAATTTACTATAACTCCGCTTATTCAAATGATTGCTAAGTATTTTATATATGACATAACTAAGAAAATAGTTTTTTAAGAATTAATTGAATTTATTAAATTTTTTATACAAAACCTCACGTGCTACATATTTCATATAACTTAACATAATGTTTAGGGACAACAAGGGTCCTATTGGTCCATCTAGGCTGTCCCATTCTCTAAACTAAAACTATTAAAAAATAATAAGGCCTCAAAGTCAGCTCTTATCATTCATATAATTATAAAACTTTCTCTTAAACTTGCTGTCTGCAGACTTATACTGCTATAAACCAGGTTTCGATACCGTGGTGGGCAGAGCACAGATAACCCTTAAACTCACTTAAATTTACTGCCTCCACAACATCCGAAGGCAACTCGTTTCAAAGGCCAACCACCCTGTTAGAAAAATAAAGCTGTCTTAGCTGAAGATGACTCCTATCCTGCCAAAATTTGTATTTGTATCCCCTAGTCCTACCATTCTCACCATTAAGTATGAAAAAAGATGATGCATGAACACTATCAATTCCCTTTACAATTATAAACACCTCAATCAGATCTCCTCTAATTTTTATTTTAGCAAGAGAAAATTTCAGAGATCTTAACCTTTCCTCGTATGACAACCTTTCTATTCCAGGCATCATTCTAGTAGCTGTCTTCTGAACCCTTTCCAACAATTCAATGTCCTTCCTAAGGTAATGAACCCAATACTCCAAATGTGGCCTAACCAGTGACCTGTACAATGAAATTATAACCTCTTTAGACTTGTATTCAATATTTCTTTATATTCAACCTAAAATCCTATTTGCCCTACCACTAGCAACAGCACACTGCTTGGGTGGCTTTAGAGACTGATCAACCATTACACCAAGGCCCCTTTCCTTTATAACACTATTAAGGTTATTCCCATCCAAATTATGATAACCCACATTAATTACAAATGATGGAACAATATTTTAAGCAATTTTTACTTTAAAATATTTAGAATAGCATAAGCAAAATTAAAGTACAATTTAATGTTTTTTTGTGGTACACTTCACACTGGAAGTTACCATTATTATTACTGATTAAAGTGTCATGAAATGAAAGTTTATAATCATGCTGATGCTCTACAGTAAACTATACTGTTATGCCAACTCTTCAAATACTGGAAAAATAGAAAGCTTGATCAGAGTTCTTAAACATGTAGAGCGGTTTAAACTGTTGTGGGTAATTTTCTAACCATTATTAAACTGGGATTAGACAGTGGAGAAAGCCAGAATTATAAAGTAAAAATAACATGTAGAGAGAGGAATGAGGTGGGAACAAGTTGCAAAGGTAGTTTTAATGGTAGGCTAAACTGTCATTATTGTAATGCTAGAAATATAAGAAATGTGTGTCATTAGAGCTCTGGTTGGGGCAGAGGATTTTTATTTTATAGGAATAACTGAAACCTGGGTAAATGTAGACAATTTTGATGACAGAAATTTCTTTGAAATACAGGGTTATAGATTGTTTAATAAGAATAGAGTACTAAAAAATGAGGAGGAGTGGCTTTGTATGTAAAATGTGAGTTACATCCTGTTAAAGTTCAGGATATCAAAGCTAATAGCAATGAGGTTGAATCTACTTGGGTTTTTGTTAGTGGTTATAATGGGAAAAGGCTTTTAGTTGGAGTTTGTTACAGACCACCAGATGAAAATAATGAGATACTCTATAGTGAGGTAAAGAATTTAACTGTTAATGAGGTTATAATTATGGGAGATTTTATCTTTACTTCATGAGGGAAACATGTTTTTAGAAACTTTTCTTCAACAATTGATTAGTGACACAGTGCTATTTTAAATTTTTTAATTTCTAATGAAGAAATGGTTGATAGAGTAGAGACTGAGAAACGTCTGGGTGCAAGTGATCATTGCTTAATTAGATTTGATGTTTTCCTGCATATGGAGATCTGGAATAATGGGATTTTGGTTTCAAATTTCAAAAAGCAAAATTTGTAGATGATACAAGAATTATCTTATAAGTTGGGCAACTGAATTATATAAATGGAGACACTGATTAAATATGGAACAATTTTTTAAATATTCAAGATAAACATGTTCTTTACAGACAAAAATGGTGGCTGCAAGTAAAAAAACCAGGTTGCTTCACACAAATGATATAACAAAAAAAAAAACATTATAAATTTAAGAAGTTTAAGTTGACTGTAATGATGGGTGATTTGGAGGATTATAGAAGATCAAGAGATTTATTCAAACATGAAATTAGGAAATCAAAAACGTATATGAAAAAATTGTAAAAATTAACAATATAACTTTCTTCAAATACAATAAAGGTAAGTAAAATGAATAGGGTTCTCGGAGGATGACACTGGATGGCTAATGTTGATGATTATGGGATGGCTGGGTTATTAAATTCTGCTTTTTCTTCAATTTTACCTAATGAAAATTTAAGCGTTTGTTTACTTCTTCTTATGAACAAAAGTACACAATGAGCTATTTGTGCTGTGCCCAACAGGGGCATCAAATCCTAGTTTTTAGCAGTTAAGCCTTCATATTTACCACTAAGCCACTGGTGGCAGATTTAAGCAATATTGCTAGATGGAAAAAAGATTGAACCAGATGACCACATTAGTTCTGAGCTTAAGAAAAAAATCAAAGTTTAAAGAATGATAAAGCTCCTGGGACAGAAAATGTTAACCAAGGGTTTTGAAGAGGTTAAGAATCGGATATGTAAACTACTTGCTGCTATCTTTTCTAAGTTCTTAAATAGTGGGCAGAAGATTAGAAGCCGGCTAATGTAACTTCTCTTTTCAAGGGAATTGATAAGAATTGTCCCAGTAATTATAGACCTATAAGCCTTGCATCAGTGGGGGAAAAGTTTTTGAAAGTCTGGTAAAAGATGCTTTACAAAGTTATTTAACAAAGTTTAAAGTTTTGTTGAAAAGTAAGTATGGTTTCAATAGGAGAAAATTTTGCTTTACTAATCTTTTGACATTCTTTGAAGAGGTTAATGCTTATGTAAATGAAAGTACAGTGTGTATTTGATGTCAAGATTTTCTAAAAGTACCACTTTTTAAGTGGTACTAGTACTGCTTTCAGACTGCAGTACTAGTACCACTTGTTCTAGTTCTACATGTGATCTTTCAGACTGTAGTATTAGTACCACTTGTTCTAGTTCTACATGTGATCTTTCAGACTGTAGTATTAGTACCACTTGTTCTAGTTCTACATGTGATCTTTCAGACTGTAGTATCAGTACCACTTGTTCTAGTTCTACATGTGATCTTTCAGGCTACAGTATTAGTACCACTTGTTCTAGTTCTACACACGTTCTTTCAGCCTACAGTATTAGTACCACTTGTTCTAGTTCTACAAACGTTCTTTCAGGCTACAGTATTAGTACCACTTGTTCTAGTTCTACATGTGATCTTTCAGACTGTAGTATTAGTACCACTTGTTCTAGTTCTACACACATTCTTCCAGATTGCAGTATTAGTACCACTTGTTCTAGTTCTACATGTGATCTTTCAGACTACAGTATTAGTACCACTTGTTCTAGTTCTACATGCGTTCTTTCAGGCTACAGTATTAGTACCACTTGTTCTGATTCAACATGTGATCTTTCAGACTACAGTATTAGTACCACTTGTTCTAGTTCTACATGCATTATTTCAGGCTACAGTATTAGTACCACTTGTTCTAGTTCTACATGCTTTCTTTCAGACTACAGTATTAGTACCACTTGTTCTAGTTCTGCATGCATTCTTTCAGACTACAGTACTAGTACCACATGTTCTAGTTCTGCATGCATTCTTTCAGACTACAGTATTAGTACCACTTGTTCTAGTTCTACATGCATTCTTTCAGACTACAGTATTAGTACCACTTGTTCTAGTTCTGCATGCATTCTTTCAGGCTACAGTATTAGTACCACTTGTTCTAGTTCTACATGCTTTCTTTCAGACTACAGTATTAGTACCACTTGTTCTAGTTCTACATGCATTCTTTCAGACTACAGTATTAGTACCACTTGTTCTAGTTCTGCATGCATTCTTTCAGGCTACAGTATTAGTACCACTTGTTCTAGTTCTACATGCATTCTTTCAGACTACAGTATTAGTACCACTTATTCTGGCCCACTCCCAGTCATCTGTTTTAGAATTGTATCAGAACAAAGATATAAGGCCAAATATAAATTTTGTTTATTATAGCTTTCTGGTTGCCCTATTTACACAAAATTAAGATCTGCTTCTGATTAGAAAAGTCTGGAAGTTAGCAAATAAAACTTTACCTTAAACGTTTTGGAAAGGGAGGAAGAATAATTTTATTTTAGTATGACTTTCGAGATTAGTTCAACTTCATATTTTCTGTATAAAATTGTATAAAAACTGAAACTACTTACGTCGTAATTGTTATTCAACTTGCATTTTAAAATTCACTTGTGCATAAAATTTAGAAATATACAGTAATTTAGTGGCAGGATCAGCCATCTTTCTTACTTAAAAAACAGAAATGTATTTTTATTTTTGTGATTACACAATTACATATTTTGTAAAAAAGTATGCACAATTTCCTTCCTCTATATCCCGAACCTTGTTATTACAAGTTGTTCCTTCCTCTGTATCACGAACCTTGTTATTACAAGTTGTTCCTTCCTCTATATCCTGAACCTTGTTATTACAAGTTGTTCCTTCCTCTATATCCTGAACCTTGTTATTACAAGTTG